TGGGTGGGGGGATGGGGGGGATTAGAGATTCAATGAGCACAAAAGTTCTTTAAATCTATGTCGGAACCATCAAAATAAGCTCTTTGTAGTTTAGCTTGGAGAATAAACTGGAGGACAAGGCAGGTACTAGAATAGAAACTACTACAATTCTTTTTCTTTTTTAATGAGAACTAGTTGAGGAAGCTCCATCAATGGACCTCTGAATAGATGCAGCTGAGAAGCAGAGTAAAGTAGGAGTGAGGAAGAGAGAAATGGAAGTCCGAGAAGTTGCAATTTAAGAAACTAAAATGGTTTTGGTCACATCATTCAACACTAATTACAATCAGTATATAGTCGACTTCACTAGCTAATTATCTGCTAACCGACTGACTGAACTCAGGCAGTTACCAACTGTCATGTGCATTATTCTACAGCTCTACCTTGGCATATTACCACCAGCCTGTCACCCACTCTCTTCTTCAACATCTCATTATAGTTGGATGCAACTTAATTTGACTACTGCTCCTTTATCGGTTATAACGATTGAGAATTGGGATTGCGGCTTACTTGATTGATTCATTGCACTTGGATTAGAGATTGTGAGCAGAAAGTTTGATTTCCAAGTGTTATAGCAATTATTGGGCTTATGAGAAAGAACTATTTGTCAACAAGTCCAATTCTTCTTTATAAAGGGAATCTTTACCACTTCAATTAAGATGTTGAAATTGGAAATATGCTACTAACCTAATAGCACGTATAAATATGGAAGATAAGAAAAATAGAAGATGCCAGTACAATTGAATTTTTTAATTACTACCTGGTATATGTAACCGCAAATGATTGCAGAAGCTAATAGTAATATTGCACGCATATTTGCAGCCTCCACAGATGTATAGGTAAGCCCAAAGAAACCAAGAGCAAGTAACAAGTATGCAGCAATGAACGTCCCCGTTCGGCTTACACAAAAGTTATAAAGCATAGTGAGTCAACTTTAAATCTGTAATTCCATGAACAAATAAATATAAGGTCACATCATGAGCGCAGTCTAAATGCAACCTTTTCTTTTTTGGGAAATAGTCTAAATGCAACTTTATAAGGGAAAATCACAGGAACAATTCGTGTTCATGAACTGAAAGAAGAGCTCAATCTACACATTCATGAACTCATTCAGCAAATTAAAATATATCACTCTATTCAATTAACATAAGATAAAAAGAGAAAGGAAAAAAAAGTAATGGCACAACTTTCATGGTAGCGGTATAAGCTTTTACCTGCCAACAATGTTCACAACTGACTCTTTCTTGTCCTTATCAGCTCCTGTGTCAAAATCATAAACGTCGTTGCTGCCCATATTACAGAGATATTGATAAAGAGTGAAAGAGACACGGAAGAGATGTTTAATAAGGGCATAATAGTACTTAAGTGAAGCACAACCATAAAAGATAAAGCCACAAGCAGTACTACAAGATACAATTTTTTTCCAAAATTAAGTAAAATGTATTTCTATCATAGTGCACGAGGACAGTGTTCAAGATTATGTATAAAGTGGGATTGTCGCTCAACCACTGTCATCTATTAAGTTAGCCCATCTATCCATACAACACTGAGTTCCCCTTTACAAAATTATGAATCAAACGAAAAGATTCCAATACTTCTTACATCTCTCTCATATATTTCGAAACAATCTCAAATTGAACAATTCTTGCCAATGCACTTTGGAATTACACTTAAGGGCTGAGAGAACTGAAAAATAATAAAAAGTAATAAAAAAAGGTAGATGACTGGAGGAATAAAGAAAGAGATTTCAAGAACTAACCCCTCTATGCTAAACAGCTTACCCCTGCCAGTTCTTTGTTAAGTGTTGCTGTTGCAACAACTTGAACCTAAAAGGACTCTATGAGCTCACTTGCTAACATGCTGGTTGAAGAGGATTTGATTATATCTTATTGTCATTTAATCAAGTGCTTCATGAGCTAGATGACTTTGACTAGACGGTGTGCACATCAAAGTAGTTCAACCTTGCCACCAAGATCAAGTAGTAAATAAAATTCTCAATGACAGGAAAACCCACACCTTAAGTTAAGCCAAGTGATGATAAGAACTGAAGACACGAACAGCATAAAATAA